AAAATTCATTCTCCAAGAAATTTAGAAAACGGTCCCCATTTAATCTTGCAGGTAAAAAAAACATTTTTTTTCGATTTCTCTGAAACGGAGCAAAAACAAGCATATGTCTATAGGACTTTTTTTCTTAGTTTTTTACTCCTCTACACGCTCCCGAAGTTTTGCGATTTAATTTGGAAACACCCTGTATATAAAGTAAGAATAATTATAATATAAATACAGTGTAACATTTATTATATTATATGTTACTCCTATGTTATATGGCATTTATACCATATATTGTGTTTATGGGATTATTACTTAAATAATAATCAACATTTGAGAGCATTTTTCTCATTGCTATATTCTTATGAAGTTATATCGTATTAGTTTATTAAATGAGAAAATGTGATATAATATTACTGATAAGATAAAAGTACTACTGTTACCTGCCAGTATGGCGATTGTGGTTTTACTTTTCTAGGCTAAAACTACATAAGAACATTCGCGCGTTATATTACATAAATACTGATTACATAAAAACTGACGTCTATAATAATCTTTCTTTAATACATAAAAAAAATCATAACGTAACATTAAATGTTATGATGACTTTTTTGTGTATTAATGTAAAGTTTATTAATATGTACAAACTTCACTTTATGATCAGTCCTAATGCTCCGTTCTTTGTCCGTAACCAGCCCCACTCGCCATTTTTTATTCAAGAAAATACAGATTGAAGAGTAAATTTAATCAGTATACTTATTCTAATAAAACGTAATATAACTGAATGTACTTACTTACATAAAGAAATATACAAAAGAATAACATACCTCCAATTTATGTTTCTAATATTATATAATAAATAATTCACCAATGAAACATTTACTTCCAACAATTAAAATCATATAAACAGAGTACCGTCTTTTACAGTTCAATTATGGCTGTAAACTAAGCAGAATAGTAGAATATCATAAGGATTATTCCAGCTAATGCTAAATATTCATAGAAAGTTCTATTTTTATTCCCAATGTGCCCACTATTCCGGAAAAAAATCGTCACAGTAAATGTCGTTGAAATGTTCAGAATATTGTATGAATACTCCTTGTGTATATCACGAATATCACTCGCGAACGAACAGTATACTTCTCCGCCGATAGAAGGCCACAGCGGAGAGCATTTACTCGTAAACAAGAATTACTTGGGAGAGAATATAAGGAACGCAGCATTTCGTCTGTAAAATGAGTCAAAATTTGAGCTCCAAGGTGAAAGCACATGAAATATGTTCTTCATAATACAGTTGGTTTAAAAAGTAATTCAGGGACACACAAAGAGACCTGGAATTTCTGGAAAAATTAAAATTTTGTAAAATATATATGAAACATTCTCGGAATATGTAACGATATGTGTAAATGGAATTTTTAAATATTTGAATGTTGAGAGAGAGAGAGAGAGAGAGAGAGAGAGAGAGAATTTATATTCTGTAAATATTCCGGAATACTCTTAAAATGTCTTTTTATTTTTATTTTAGTAATCTTTTATGAATATTTCAAGAATATTTAACGTTAGAATTCTTAATATAATATTATACTTATAAAAATGTACTGTCCTTTTTCTCGCTGAAAGAACCAACTGTAGCAACTTATTCCTCTCATAACAACTAATCCCAATCTCTCCTATACATTATAAAACTATTGTCTTAATTTTCTACTGGGTCATCAAGTATGAAATGTTTTTCATTTCATTATTATTAATATGAAATGTCTACATGTTTTTAAAAAAATTTGAAAATTATATCATTCAATAGAGCAAATTTTCAGCTTCAAGAATCTGTTTTTTCAATTGCACGATGTGTTTTGACGGACTTATGAGCAATTAAAATCAAAAAGTTTAAATATATTTAATCCGCAATAACTCAGTAACAACAAATCTTAGGATCAATTTTAAAAAATGATTTTATAGGGAAAGCTTTGAACCCAGACAGCACAAAATACTAAAAGATAACAAAAAAAAATCTTTTTTAAGTGGTCTTTTCGAAAAGATGTCTGAAAGATGACGAAAAGACATCGTTTTTAGATTGTCTTTTGAGCAGGACGAAAAGATGTCTATAAGACATCTTTTAGTTTTGTCGAAAAGATAACTTAAAAAGGATATTTTTTCGTCATCTTTCTATGGTTGTCATTTTCGCAAAGCAAAAAGTCAACTGAAAGATATCTTTTCATATTGCCAAAAAGACAACATCGAAAAGATATTTTTCCATTATTTTGATACTTTTTATCACTCATTCGCGAACAGTACGCGGGATCGCCACCAGACGGACTGGAGTTCAGTTTCTCGTATTTGAAAATCATACAAGATAGAATAAAAAGTGTAGCATTATGAGAATCATACAAGATAGAATAAAAGGTGCAGCATTATGAGAAATTTTACTCGTGTTCTCTAATGAACACTATAAAATATTTTTTTGAAATCGAGTCCCCAAAGGGGGGATTATGTGATGAAAGATAGTGACTCTTGCACATATAGGACACGGCAAACATTGCAGGACCCAGAAATGGGATGTATATTGTCAGTCATACAATTTCATTTCGTTTTGTGTAAAAATTAATTTAGGAATTCGATGTTATTAAACGTTATATGTGCCAAAATATAAAAACTAAAAGAAGTCTTGAAGAAGACTAAAAGATATCCAAAGAAGTCATCTTTTAGTTATCATATGGATAAGACTATAAGATAACTAGCAGTGCGACATCTGTCATCTTTTAATCACCTTTTTAGACAACCTTGTGCTTTCTGGGAACTTTCACGATAGAAAGTTGAAAATTAAAAAAAGTTTTTTTTAACGCGTGACAAGCCCGAAAAGTAATAACAAAATTTTTCATTTTATCTAGCTTATAGTTTGTTACATATAAAAATTACCAAATTTATAGAAATTAAAAAAATATAGTTATCTTTCAAAAGTACAGATTTTAAGCTTTAAAAATCTTTTTTTAAATCAAAATTTTGTTTTCGTTTGTGTTTAACGAAGTTACTGCACGGAGAGAAATCTGTTACGATTTTGGTATGAACAGCCGATACTACTATCGCGTGGCATATTTCAATGCGCTAATAGCGCCATCGTTCTATCAGTTTATGTATGAAATCGTGCAATCATAGTACGAAGAAGCTCTATAAAAAAAGAGAATGAGATACGCGCACTGATCGTACCAACTTTTTACGATAACCGCACGAGCGCAGTACACATAAAGTATCCTACTAAAGCATCGTGCGAAATTCGCTCGAAACCCGTACGATTTTCGCATGGGTGCTTATCGATTTGACAGCCGAATTTCTAAACCACGCTTCCTGCATTGTGCGTCAAAAATTAAACAATATCTAAAAATGTGCTAATTAAAAAATTTATCAGGAAACAAATTCTAATGCTTGAATACATAAATCATCAAATAATTGCTATTATAATAGTATCTCTCTCTCTCTCATTAAATAAGAAAATTTACGTTCATAATCACATTATGTATGCATTTATAAAGATTTCAAATAATAGTACACAACGCGCGAATATATATTAATTTAATTATCTTTTAATAAACCTCACAATATTTGCTGCTGCAATATTTTTCACTTTCATTAATATTGTTTAATTTTTGACACACAATGCAGGAAGTGTGGTTTAGAAACTCGG